TAAACACTGGACATGTAACTCTTTTCAGAAGAAGTTTCACACTCTCTGTATTCCAAAAAAACACAAGGAGCATGTTCTCTATATAGATGATGACGATTTATTTATGTGTCATAATTGCTACAAAGAGGAAAGTTAAGATACTACCATCAGTGAGGAGAGCTTTGATGAATAAAAAAATAAGGGAGATGGCTTCAGTGGAGAGCAAAGACTTAAAATCGAGGGGCTGGTGAACTTGGCAAACAATAATAATTGTTTGGAAGGCAAAAGAGAAAAACATACGACAAGAACTGACGACTCGCATGATGTAAACTTGACCGACGAAAATTTGATTGAAAATTGTCAAAACAAAAATTAGGTAAGACCGGAAGTAGATGTGTTTTATAGTGAAAAATTAGTTGGTGATGATCTGAATGACTTGAACTCAGATGTTAAACAAAATACTGAAGCCGAGGCTTATTGATTTTTAAATGTCCATTTACTGGATTGAGTATGTCCAAAAACTAGGAAAATTGTCCAATAACTAAATTTTTTGACATAATGCCAGTTTTTTCATAGTTAAAAATTATATTTTTTTATAGTTAAAAATTATATTTTTTCCTACTTAAAATTATGAATACTACAATGTAAGGCCAATATATTATTGATTAAAACAAACCATCACTCATATCTCTAGGTGGAAAAATATCTATTCAGCATGGTCCCATTTTTTTTTAAATCCTTAAGAGTCCAATAACTGGGTGGTTTTTTTTACCTTACATGGGCATTACAAACTTAAAAAATGTAAAATTTTGGACTTGGTCACCTTCTCTTGTATACCGACGGTATATTTGTATTATTAGTCGTAATGAAAGATGAGGATAGATTTTGGTGTTGCCGTATTATCTGTAAAAATGATTCGCATCCTTGTATATTTTATTTTTACTTTTATGGAAGCTTCAATATAGTTTTCAGCAACAGCTGAGACTCACCAGCCTCCATGTCGTTTCAAAAAATGTAGCCCCAGCATTAGCCAATAGTGTTGCAGAAGTTCTTCTGAACCAGTAGCCTGTCGTATATGTATCTGGATTAAGAAATTTTGAAATTTTGCTATGCTTCTCCAACTCTTTGGTTTAAATATTTACTTTTTTATACCATATTAATAGAGTCTTTTCGAGGATATTTGTACCTCGCAAATGACAGTACCTATTTTATGAAAAGATTGTTATGTTCTTATATAGTTTTCATATAAATTACTTAAAATTGGGGGTTTCAAATTAATTTTAAGTAATGAAAGATTTAGTTTAAAATTTTATTTGCTATATCAGCTACAACTAACTTTTTGTTAAAATGATTACTATTTAATATCGAATAATGCATTTAAAGTTGTGGACATAATGAAATAAATATGTATTTTTATCATTAACCTTACATATTCTTATGTTACCGATCTTTTCTGGTTATATTTATTTAAAAATATCTTAGCCTGTCTGAGCCCCAAGAGATTGTTGCAATTATCGGTTCTTCTATTGCCCAATTCTTTTTTAATCTGTCCTAATTTTGTGCTATTGCTGATATCGCAGAACAGCTTAGGTTCCACAGAGGGTGTTTGATTTCCTTTCCTTGCGAGAGTATCTGCAATATCGTTAACCTCTACCCCGTTATGTTCCTGGACCAAAGTGAGAGTAACTGTATTAAGCTCATTCCCTTTTTATAGGCATCTCCAGATCATTTTTGACCTGATTACGTAAAAACTCAGCGCTTTGATGGCTACTTGGCTATCGGACATGATAATGGCGTGAATTTCCGCCTGGAAGATGCTTGGATATTTTCCCAAACTTTCAGAGTGCCTGGTTCTAGGCATATACACCCCTGATTCAGTTCCTTCTATGGTTTTGGAATTATCCTTATATTACTGAATAACATGTTTTTTGGTTGCAAGAACGATGGATTCTTAGCTCCATTCTTTCTTGCAGCTCAGCTCTATGGTTTAAAAGTTTTTCATAAAATTGTACTTCTTTTTCATTTCATCTTGAGGCATATCTTCGGTCCTTAAGCTAATAGACTTTCGTCTAGTTATTCCGTTCCTGATAATTCTATATCGTGTGCTGTTTGCTATATTCTCTATCATTAAATGTAGGGGGTGTGATGGGGCGCGGTTGAAGATCACCCCATTGCGGCCATAGGACAGGTTCTCATTGCACCGGTAATGTAAACATGTGCTAGTTTTTGTACTTTTGAGATATTAGCTCTCGTAGTAGCTAAACTAATTCTGTTACTCCAGGTTATAGCCCCGTAAGTGATGATTGGTCTCCCATCATTTACTTGTAATATTTTTGCCTACCTCTACGGGTTTTGTGGCCTTATGTACTACTTCCTTCTCATGTAAGTTCCAGAGAAATTTATTATCCACTGATATTTGAGTTCATTTTTCATTCTGTATCTATCCCGTCTAATTAAGTTTTCTTTTCCTTAAAAAGGCTACTAGTGTTATTTTTCTTTCATTATCCTTGCCTTACGTATTCTTTTTGGTATTAAATACTATAAATTAATAAATTAACAAAGGATCTTTTAAAGACTTCATGTCAATGACAATTCTAAAACTCAAAAATGTACCGTTACTTAAAATAACAGTCAAAATATGGAGGGTGGGTTGTCCCACGGCACTTAATTCTCACTACGCACATTGTGAATCCTCCCAAATTAATTATCCCCCTCTAATCTTATCAGCCAGCCTACAGATTTGATGTAGTTGACGTCGCCAAAAGGTCCTTCTCTTATATGGGCCGGTATTAGCCAAAACTCGCCGAACAAAGATCTAATAAATTAGTGCGCCCGCCATACCTGCCTGTTCCGGCTCCTCGATTTGTTCCGTTATAACTTTAATTGGCTTATGGATAACATATTTTGATGATATAAGAGTCCATGTTCGCTTGAAACAGTGGAAGTGAGTGCCTTCCACCAAAGCGACGTCTCGCATCACCAAATCCTTTATCAGGTTCTATATCAATCCGTGTTATTGTCATCAATGCAACCTCTTTGTTGTAAATGTGAAGGGGAGTGAGACTGAGAATGATGCCAGCAACATCTATTAATTGGTCTAATGGAAAGTTTTCGATCCATTTAAATAGCTTTTGTGGCAGACCTGATGAACAAATCTTGTCCCTGTCATATCTGATCGAAAGCTGTAGCTTGAAATTGAACGGAGTTGTTCTAGATGTGGGTGAATAAAGTTAGTTAATTTTTGTTGGATAAAATAGCAGAGCTACTACAGTCCTGTTTTTAAAAGAGAAATGGGTTTTGCTCCTTTTTTTGGTATCCGTCAGATACGAACGGTTTTCCAGTTTTTTGTAATAATACTGCAATCCTAAGAAACATTGAAGAAGGCAGGTGAAAACAAAAAACATTTCGGTTTTATATTCTTTAAAAACTACTACTATCTCATGGTATTTCAGGTGAGTTATGTTATACTTTATGAAAATAAAACAAATAATATTTTATATATATTTAATTTCGCATCACACAATAAAAAAATATTAATTTTCGACAGTTAATAAATAACGAACAATTATAATAATTATAGGTAAAGATCGACTTATATATACATATACAAATAAAGTTAGAAATAAAACAGATATATGAGTATTTGTCAAAGTTTTAAATAGAAACGTCCTACATCAAAAGACAAAATTGAATATCTATAAATACAAATAAGTCTCTCAAACTTGAAAGTTATGGCATCATTAAATTATTATATAGAAGAACGAGATAGAATTGTAGGCTCTTTAAAACATTGTAATAAAAAGTTTTGTTTCAAAAAAAGCGCTGAATTAAAAATAACTCCAAAAGATCTACTTGTTCATGGAAAATTTAATTTAAACGATTTTCCGAACATTTTACTGATAATAATTATTTAAATAAAAAATATATCAAAGCCAAATGAACACATCAAAAGCATTTATTTATTATTCACAATTTTGTTTTATATAACAGTCTAAAAACAGTTTTAAAATAACTAAAACTTTTTGATACCCTCTTTCCAGATATACAGTGTGGAAACCACTTATGGAATAAAATTCTTTATGTCATTATTTTAGAAAATTGTAAAAAATGCCGAGACACGTCAACTTTTGAATTGAGTTGTGCGTTATGTAAACATAAATTTAAATGTACAGGGTGATTCACGCAAGTATGCCATAGTCGGTGTTGTTTTTTTTAATGAAACACCCTGTATATTTGCATATTTTTGAAATCCTCTTAATGAACCGATTCCAACAAACTGAATAATGTATGTATGCAAATATACAGGGTGTTTCATTAAAAAAAAACAACACTGACTATGGCATACTTGCGTGAATCACCCTGTACATTTAAATTTATGTTTACATAACGCACAACTCAATTCAAAAGTTGACATGTCTCGGCATTTTTTATAATTTTCTAAAATAATGACATAGAGAATTTTATTCCATAAGTGGTTTCCACACTGTATGATGATTGTTGATGAACTATTTAAGGCATTGTAACTAGCTAGATTTTCAATAGAATATAAAAATATGTTATTTGAATAAGGCTAATTTCTTGACAGTAACAAAATTTTATACAAATATTATTATTTGTTTGTATAAAAATATGTTTTCGCACGGTTACATTTTCATGCCCACTTTTTGTTTATTACATTGTATTTTCCACTCTTATGAAACTTGTGTTACAGTTGTCCAACATTTTATGAAAACTAGCCAAATAAGAATCACCTTGTATGAAGAACTTGGTACTCACTTAACAATTTGAGAATAATTCCTACCATTCTTGTTAAAAAATATATTTTGGTTTTCAACAAGAAAAAATTATGTTAGCTATATAATATATTTTTTAGGTAGTTGATTTTATTTAAAAATAATTTTATTAAATTTCATTGCTTATGAAAGAGTTTTACTGGTAGGGATTAAACTATAATAAATATATAACAAATTAATATTTATTCATTTGTTTAAAAAGTGTTTTGGAAACATTTCCATTTTTAACCTTAATTCGTTAAGAACAACATAACGATTTTCTATGAACTAAATTCGTTGCCTCCTAAAGGGATCTCTTGAGTATTTACCCTTATCTGATTCTTCTCTTAGGTTTGAGAAGAAGCTGAAGCTGACGTACCACATATAACAATATACAACTAAAAAAAAAATAAATATATTATTAAAGTGCATGTTTTCTAATCTCAATTATTATAATGGTTAAACAGCCCAAAATCAAAACACTTATTTCATTAAATATACAATAGATTTCCTTTTAAGAGTATTGTTTACTCTCAGAACCATATCTACAACTATATCCCACACATTTTTATGAATAAATATACAATTTGCAAGGGTTAAGGTTTAACAAATTTTATTTTCTGATATTTGACATGAAAATAAGAAAAAATCCTATGAAACAAGTATTCAACTTTCAACGATTTTAGGCGTAAAAGCAGTTTCGTATGAATATATTTTCGTCAAATATACACGGATTCGTCATAATTTTTTCTTGAGTATTGCAAATTAACAAGAGAAACGGCGAAAGCTTCATAAAAACGATCACACACTATATCCCACTTTGTGATGAATTGATTAGTGAGGAGTCGTCACTCCCAGCGGACAGAAGGTGTGAATTTGATTTCAATAAAATACAATACGCGTTGAAGTGCACACCTAAATGTAGCAGTTGCAGGAGTATTTTACGATAATTTATTTGAAATAAAAGATATTATTTTGTATTTTAGAATAATACATTATCTCCCAACTTATTAATTTGATTACTTTTCTGCCATAGAAGACATGAAAAATAAAACAATAATTCTAATAAAAAAAAAATTTAAAAAATTACTCAAAATTATATAAACTTAGCAATAGTGCCAGTATAGTTCAAACAGAGCTAATGGGGATTCTCATAGCAGCAAAAGAAATAACCAGAAAGAATATCGCTGGAAGGAACATGCTCATCTATACAGATAGCAGACAAGCACTACTTACCCTGAACAAACCAGGACTTTATTCAGGGTTAGTACTAGAATATCACGAAGGTTTGGCCGAATTATCTATAAACAATGTGGTCACCTTAAGATGGATCAAAGGTCACGCCACATCGAAAAGTAACCGTCTTGCTGATTCACTAATCAAGAAAGCAGCTAACCAAATACTTTTTGGACCTAACCTTTCTATTATTGGCCTGACAAAATCGGTAGTGACAGACCTAATTAAAGAACATTCCCTTGTGAAATTCAAGGAAAGATGCGATGAAACAAGAAACTGCAGAGTTGCCAGGGAGATCTTAAGTTATCCTGACAAAACTGCAAACAAATACTTGACTATGACTAGACAGAATCTGCGCCTAGTCACAGGCATTCTGACTGATCATTGTCAAGCACGAAAGTATCTCCATATCATGAGGCTGTCAGAATCGGAACTCTGCAGAGGGTGCGAATAAGAATATAAGACCATCGAGCATATCCTTTACGATTGCCCGACGCTCCCATTTATTGGAAGATTTATGTTCGGCGAGTATCGGCTAACATCGGCCGATATAAGTGAAGCACCTCTTGGCGACGTTGTCAACAACATTAAATCTGGCTGACGAGCTAGGAGGTGCCTATCATCTTAAAAGGGTGCACAATGGGCCTTATTAGGCTTAAGTGCTGTGAGGGTAACCCACCCTCCACACGTTACAGATGCAGATACAGATTCTTATCAAATAAAAAATAAATAAAGTAAGAACAAATAATAAAGAGAAAATTTATAATATTTTAAACGGAATGTCCCACATAGTGGTATAAATAACGTTCGGCGTATTAATACCTAATTATTTTAAAATGGAAACCAGAATCTACAGTTTTACCTTCACGCGCTATAGACTCGATCTGGTCTAGACTGATTTTATCTGGTTTGCATGTCTGAGTCAACAAATGAGATCAGTGGGCGTCGGGAAGAATAGTGGGACAAAACTGCAAACAAATACTTGACTATGACTAGACAGAATCTGCGCCTAGTCACAGGCACTCTGACTGATCATTGTCAAGCACGAAAGTATCTCCATATCATGAGGCTGTCAGAATCGGAACTCTGCAGAGGGTGCGAATAAGAATATAAGACCATCGAGCATATCCTTTACGATTGCCCGACGCTCCCATTTATTGGAAGATTTATGTTCGGCGAGTATCGGCTAACATCGGCCGATATAAGTGAAGCACCTCTTGGCGACGTTGTCAACAACATTAAATCTGGCTCACGAGCTAGGAGGTGCCTATCATCTTAAAAGGGTGCACAATGGGCCTTATTAGGCTTAAGTGCTGTGAGGGTAACCCACCCTCCACACGTTACAGATGCAGATACAGATTCTTATCAAATAAAAAATAAATAAAGTAAGAACAAATAATAAAGAGAAAATTTATAATATTTTAAACGGAATGTCCCACATAGTGGTATAAATAACGTTCGGCGTATTAATACCTAATTATTTTAAAATGGAAACCAGAATCTACAGTTTTACCTTCACGCGCTATAGACTCGATCTGGTCTAGACTGATTTTATCTGGTTTGCATGTCTGAGTCAACAAATGAGATCAGTGGGCGTCGGGAAGAATAGTGGGATTGCCAAGGCCCCACTTCTGCTTTCTCTCTCTCTCTCTCTTATTTTCGCTTCATATGAATAGTCTTCTTTCTGTTGCTCTTTATAATGCTGCCCTATACCTAAGAAAAATGTAAGCCCCTAATTTGTATTTTCGAGGAAATGTATTTTGGAGCATTTGCCATTCGATTAAATATATTTAGAGCAATATTCCGTAATCAAAAAAAAAAGCAAATCCTTTGATCCTCAACTTTACTTGAATTTCACAGATCATATGACCGCTCCCACCGCCGGGACATAATAAAAATTGTTTATCCCCTCGCCCTTACACCCAACAAAGAGTAGGCGATGTGTCCTTTCTGTAGTCATTTGAGGAGCTATAATAAATTATTATTGCATTTTTCTTAAAAATTTATTAAATTTGAACTATTATTTGACACCTTTTGTTGGATTTGATGTCGGATATCACACACTAAAATTTACTAAATATTTTACCTACTTCTTTGTCATTATTGGCCCATAACGACATCACATTTTAGTGTTGTTAACGCACTGTTCTTTATTTGATACAATAAGAAATTAAAAAAAATAAAAATAGTTTTTCTACGATCACTATCCAAAGTAGGCTTTTGCGCTTCGAAAGACAACCATAAAATTGACATTTTCCGCGAACTGACATTAAGTTACAGCTTTGTCGCTTTAAAATTTACAAAAGACTTTCAAAATTACAGTAAGAAAGTATATTTGCATTTATAAGGCCAGTTATTATCATTTAAATATATTTTTCTCGTTGCAATTATCATTGTTGAAGGTGATTTTCAGGAAAGTAGGCAATTTATTTTGAAATGTGACAGCAGTGTAAAGCAAGCATCACATACATTATTACAGATTCTTCTCAAATAAACAAACTCGCACAAATCATCCCCACTCAAATTAGCAGTCGTCTCGTTCTTTCTAATGCGGCAGCCGATGCGCAATGTCTGTTTGCGTATTATAAAACACAATCTGAATGATTGCAATAAATAGAAATTTATTTAGGAATGCATAGAATCTAGTAGTTTTACGTCGTTGATATTAACCCTTGCTCATGCATACTATAGTTTAGTACTAATAGCATATAAAATGGATTTGTTCCAGCCACAGTAACATTATGTCTTTTAGAAAATTGGAACACTAATATTCTAATTTCAGTTCTTATATTAACGGAATGGCATTTTTTTATTAAAAAAAGCATAAACTTTCATATAACTTACCTAAAGATAACAATCCCAACACCAACCAAAGAGTTCCATTTAAATTATCCCCGTCAATGTAGAACTTGATGCTGTTTATTAAGATCGATACCAGAAGACCTACTGCTAACATACCACCAAGAACCACCCAAGGAATCATTAAGTACCAATTTCGCTGTGAAAAAAAAAAAAACAATTTAAATAACGTATGATTGAGAAAGGTTAGGATAAGTGTCTCAAACACCATAAGTATTACATCAATAAACATAATTCTAGAGTTTACATAATTTGCTGAAAATGATGATCTGCTAATTTTTTTGGAGTTTGAGAATAATATCAACTTCAAATAACTTTCAAGTCGTATGTAGACGTATGTCATAATTTAATAGATACATTAAACTACTGAAAGTTACAAATTACTTTATAGTTTTCAAGATTTGTGTTTGTAAAACATTTAATGATACTTATTTAAACATTTGGTCGTCAATGGCCAACCAAGATTATTTTACAGTCAAAAGGTATTTTGTAACTCTCTATCAACACTCTATGTTTTGTTGCTGCAAGTTGCTTTGACGCTATTAACTATTGTATAGCTTTATTTTGTTTTCAGTTAAAAAAAAAAACAAAATAAAAATTAATAATTTCCAACAAAGTTATGAAAAATAAACCCCCATATTCCCAAAACAAAAAAAAAATAAAAAAGCTGAGAATTAAAGAAAGAAAAAATGGGTGCATCGATCAGGGATCCAACCTCGAACATTCGGACTGTAGCCGTCTATGCTCTTATCAATAAAGTTATCGAGGCACATGGCTTCGACAGTCAAACTCGTAGATTTAAAGTCAATCAGATTCCGACACTCGTAGGCGCAAACATAAATTCTAATCTCATCACCGCTCTAGCTCTCTCATGTCGTCTTAAACTCACTCTTATGACATCGTGTAGAAAGAAGAACAATCTAATCTCAGATATAAGATCTTAGAAATGTATTATAGTACAATTGGGGATTATTCATTTTAATTTCATTTCCAAAATTGCATTTCAGTTTTTCGGATCCCATCCAATTTTTCTCACTTCACTTCCTTTCATTTTATTTATTTTTGTATTTTTTAGGAGGCTATACAAGAAGTATAATTATTGTTACTAACCTTAGCAACACCGATGACCATTAAAATTGATAGTATTATCGTCATAACCAAATTTAGGACTATGATTAGATGAACTAAAAAAAAAAACATTATTGATTTAAACATATATAATTAATAAATTGAATAGTAATTAATGTGAAAACTTAATTTGCATGTCAAGACATTATAAATTAGTAGGCATGATAAACGTTATAGGTAATAGAAGAGAATTGCAAAGAATGGAGAGAATGCAGGTAGGAAAATTAGATGTTAAAACGTATGATGAAGGAAAAGTAATGAGAAAGTAAAACCAATGAACAAGAGTACATTTATAACGTCCCCTTAATACTACAATTAGGTAATTCAATTTTTTAGTGTTTTGAGTTATCTACTTTAGTGCAACTTTCGTGAGTAAGTCGTAGATGTTCTACGACTTATTCACTTGTACCATTACAGAGAGCAACTCACAAGTGGATACGTCATAGGTGCTCTACAACTGACCCACTTGTACCATTACAAAGAGCAACTTATGAAGGTTGCACTAAAGTAGATAACTCAAAACACTAAGGAAAATCGAGTTACCTAATTGTAGTATTAAGGGGACGATAAATTATACGTAAAAATAATAAAATAAAATTTTATTTTTCCTTAAATGCTGTTTGGAAATATAAAAAATACATAGGTACCTGCCCATTTTGGTAACCAGTCAAATACAATTGTTTTTAGGTCTACTCTAACTGCCAAAACCACTATTATTCCTAAGATGGACAGTATCTAAAATTAGAAAAATTTGTTATAATTTATTTTATATTTCATCTTACTTTAAACAAGTTTTACAATTTAAGCTTTATAAAATTTCTATGATTTTCACACAGATATATTGGTGGTTTTCTAGCACATCTAGATGTTTTATTTAATTTTAGAATAACATTAATTTAAAATAATTGAAGAATGAAAATAAAACATAACGAGTAAACGGAAAAATCCCTTAAGGATAAAAACAAAGAACTGGTCAATAATAAAAATAGTAAAAAAGATATTAGATGTATATAACGGCTTGACACCCTATGAGGTTGTGCTACCATTTCCCATTTTATTTTTTTTCCCTTGCTTTGTTTAAATGTTGCTTCTTCCTGTAACCACTTTAACCTTGCTTTTAATTTTCTTTTGTTTTATCCTGGCTCCCACTGTAATATTCCAATTGAGGATCTTCTTTTCTAGTCACAATATATCAATTTTCAAGAAACGACTTAATCCGTCACAAGCTTATCATCTACGTTATCAAAATAAGAAAAAAAACATAGAAAATGTATAAAAATATATTATTTCAGAGTAGTTTATCGTCAAATATAGCTGTCAATTTATATAGAGTAACGTTTGGTATATTTATTATTAACGTTTTTGTGAAAATTTAGGGCTGATATCACCGTTGTGTTAAACGAAATTTAAATTAATAAAAGAATATTAAAATGACCATTGTTAATGTAAAAATGTAATTTTAATTTTCGTTAACTAATTTAAACTTCGTTTAACGCAACGGTAAAATCGTCCCTTAACTAACCAGTATTACATATAATGGTAATTTACGCCTACGTATTAAGCAACTTTTAATTTTATAGTCTTTTTTTAAACTATGTTTTTTTAAACCATTAGGATTAAAACACTAAATAAACAATAATACAAAACAATAATTAAAATATATGACAAACTCATTCCAAGGAACCAAGTCGCTGCTATCAGAATGCAATCGAAATGCATTTACAGCTACCTGTAGTACTTCTGTTTATTTCTCACTAGGCCCGTTGTGCATCCTCCTAAGATAATAAGCACCTCTTAGCTCGTGGGCCAGCCTACAGATTTAATGTAGTTGTTAACGTCGCCAATAGGTGCTTCTCTTATATCGGCCGGCGTTAGCCCATACTCGCCGAGCACAAATCTGTTAATAAATGAGGGCGTTAGGTAATCGTAGGATATGTTCGATGGTCTCATCTTCCTGTTTGCGCCCCCTGTAGAGTGCGAATTTTGACAGCCCCATGATATACAGATGCGTTTGTACTTGGCAACAACCAGTCAGAATACCTGTGAACAGGCGAAGATTATGTCAAGTCACAGTCAAGTATTTGTTTGCTGTAGTATTGACAAGATAACTTAAAGTTCCCTGGCAACTCTGCAGTTTCTTGTTTCATTCCATCTTTCCTTGAATTTCACATGGGGATTTACTTTAATTAGGTCTGGCTCTACCAATGTTGTAAATCAAATAGAAGAGCCAGATCCAACAAGTATTGGATTGGCTGCCTTTTAGTGAATCAGCAAGACGGTTACCTTTCGATGTGGCGTGACCTTTGATCCGTCTTAAGATAAACACATTGTTGATGGATACTCTGGCCAAAGCTTCGTGACATTCTAGTACTAATCCTAAGTAAATTCGTAGGCTGTTCAGGGTAAGTAGTGCTTGTCTGCTATCTGTATAGATGTGCATGTGTCTTCCAGTGATATTGTTTCTGGTGATTTTTTTTGCTGCTATAATAATCTCCGTGAGCTCGGTTTGAACTACATTGGCACTATTGCTCACAGCCCATTTTAGGTTGAGGTTCCAGAAATTGGACTTAATTCCATATCTTAAGCCTTCTTTTGTTTTAGAACTGTTATCATCAGTGTAGATATGAATCGTACCTGCCACTTCCGGATCTTCTATTTGTTCTGTTATAACTTCATATATCTCGGTGAAATGAGACGTCTTGTCTCACCCGATCCTACGTCAGGTTCTATTTAAACCGTGCAGAGGCATCTCATTGTCATCAGAGTAATCCCGTTGATGTAAATATTAAGAGGAGTGAGACTAAGAATGACTTTCATTTCTCTGGTTGGTGTGTTTTCATGGCTCCTGTTATGGTGAGAGATGCTGTTTACGGATAATAGTCAATTTTTAGGTTTTAGGTACCCAGACAACTGCATCGTATGTTAGCATATGTCTTGTGCGCCCATGTGACGAGTTCGGGGGAGAAACGCAAGGTACGCCCCCGGTTTCGGGGCATTGTTCACAAGCAATGAATGCTTTTTGACTCTAAGTATGAGTTCTATGTTAACTGGCTGTCAAATGTCCCACCTAGGTACTTCACCTCTGTTACAAAGTTAAAAAGGACCATTTCTGTGTTCTTGGAATTGATAGACAGTGAATGGTCCTTCCACCCTTGTTTGACAATTTTGAAACTACTTCGATTCTGTCGCAGAGTATGTTCTCAAAATTCCCTATTTACAGATTGACCGTTCATCTGCTTACGCTATTCTGTCATGCTTAGACAAGAGGTCATATCTACAAAATATTCGATTTCAAGACTCTAAATATTATTTAAGCTTAAATTTTATTTTATGATTCAAAGTAAGAAAGACCAATTTGTATTAGAAAACATTTCAAATTATATAAAAAGGTTAGTTACGACGTCTTGTCTTAGCAGGCCAGTATTGTGTAGCGACTGTCAATATGTGCCTACAGTACTTATTTCTTTATTAAAATAATCTATTTTACAAATAAACAATATATAGAGTATTCCTAAACATCACGTCATAATTAAAAGAGGTAATTCCTTGGCACAATTTGTAACTAAAAGTTGATGTATACATGTGGCCTAAATTGCTTTGCTTCAAAGATACAGGGTGTTCAAATTTAAAAAAATAATCAATTTTTCGATAAAATTGCAAAAAAATTAAAAAATCTCAGAATACAAGAATATTGGGTTTTTAATTGGATAATTCAGAGACCAAATAGAAAATATGGAAAAACACAGGCGTGCTTTTTTTGTCAAAAATATCAATTAGGTTGTCTTTGGGTACTGCACTGGAATTGATAATTCTGATCTAATTCGATGAAAATTTCGAAAATTTCGAAACAAAGCAATTTAGGACACATATTTATATAAACTATAAATCATAATATCAGCCAAGGAATTATCTCCTTCAATTATGACATGATGTTTAGGAACACCTTGTATAGTAAGGATTGTCTGTTGTTACTTTAGTATGAACCAAACGACAAAAATTGATTAATTTGCATACGTTCTCCAGTGTATTAGGTTCCCATGCTTTGGTACATACGAAAACTCATTCAGATTCGCTTCTTGGGTAGGTATTCTTTGACATAACCGAGTTGAGTCTTCATCCCCGACAGGTTGCCAATTACTAAGTCGTGGACTGATTTATGTATGGTTTAAAGATCGTTGTTGGAACAAACCTTTCATTTAGGTTGTGAGTGTTTAAATACAACAATATACATATAAATGTAGTAACGACTGCCATCTATATTTGAATATTTGAAAAAATATATATATAACTCGATTAGAATATTTGCTTTTCAATTATTGTCTCATCTAGATCCACTATTCAGAATGAAGCAAATAATCAATCATGTTTTTCATGTAATTCAGTGGTATGTGGATGATTTTAAAACAACAGAAGGAACTGTTAACGATCGATAAAAATTATAGCATACAAGAGATTATTATGTCCGATAGCCAAGCAGCCATCAAAACATTAAGTTATTACGTAATTAGCTCAAAAAAGGTCAGGAGATGCCTAGAAAAAAATTAAAGAGCTAGGCGACGATAGTACAGATACTTTCACTTGGGTATTGGGGCACAATGAGGAAAAGGGTAACGAGATTGCAGATAGTCTCGCAAGAAAAGAGACTCAAACACCCTGTGTGGGACTTAAACCGTTTTGCGGTATCAGTAGTAACACAATTAGGAAAGATTAAAAAAGAATCGCAGGAATGCAAAAAATGAACTTCGTTCTTTATTTCAAATGTAAATTTATTTTTATTGTACGAATATACATGTGAACTTAAAATTTGAATTAGTAAAGACGATATTATTATTATTATTAATTAAGTAGTAAAAGAACTGATAATTGGAGCGATATCTGTGGGTTAAAACAAGCTAAGCTACTTCTGGGGTGACTATAGCAGGAAAATATAAATATTCTGTTTCTATCCGAGCTGGAACAGGAACGCATAGTAACAAGGTTCCTTGTTGGGATTGCCGGCATAAAAGGCACCTTGGTATACTAAAACCAGAAGATAGTAAGTGCAGATTCTATGAGAAGGAGGAGAACAAAACCACCATACATATTTTGACTGAATGAGTTGCACTACAGAATCCCAGTGCACCATACTTAGGAGCATACTAAAGAGAAGGTTTGCAATGTTTCAAGCTTGAAACATGATGTCATTCAAATCCTATATACTATATCCTTGAAAAGATATGATTTTATAAATATCGAAACTATTATCACGCTGCCTTGGTAACAATAGATCTTTTAGGTGGTAATGTTTTAACACCCCATTAATAGCATAAAATCTGTAGGTTCCCACCGTCATCGATGTAACAATCCCATCTATGTTATTACTAATATGCCACTAATCAAATACTACAATGAATCGTGCAAATTTAAAAAAAATGACTGAATTTGAACCACCAATTGAGCTTTAGGCTACCTCCTTTAAGATTTTTATTAAAACTAAATACTTACTATTGCTGCTACTCCAGCTATGATGGTACCAGTTCTTAAGGATCCACAAGCACAGCATGTTTTTAAAAGGTATTTGGCCATTTTTTAAATCTGAAAGAAATAGAAATTTAAATTAATGTTTTAATAAATGACAATGCCATGTTATAAAAAAATTGTGTACACCCTTTTTGTCTAATTAATGAAATAAAATTTATCTAAATATTTAGAATTTAATTAAGAATTTTGTTGAATGTAATAAATGATAATGTTTGTGGAAGGCATTACATACAAATATAATTATTCTTAATATTTTTATTATAAAACTAACTTGCCAATTAGATATTAAAATATAGTTTGTAGTATATTATTGTCATTTCGACATGGAACAGAAATTAGACAATAAAAAATCTGATTTTCATCGAACCACCTACACGACTGGTCCTCATGAACCACGAGTTCCATGACTAAAATAAATAATGTTTTCTTAGAAGATTTGCAGTCACATTTCACATTTATGTGGACCCATTAGTGCGTTTATGGTATAACGACTTTTTGAGTCACATCATGAAAACCAGATATTCTTATTTGTCATTTGTATACAGAGACATGCTCTTTCTGAATGCGAACAAGGAAGAAAGACAAATATGTTGTACTTATTTGTAGTTTCCAAGACACACAGGTTTTTCATATTGTTGTTCTCTTGAGAAGTTTTTTCTTTTTCTGTTAGCGAGTAAAAACTGCAAGTCCGCTTTTACCATAAATATTTGTTAAATAGTGTGGTGGTAAAATATGATCAATGATTATTTAGTCAAAAACTATTCTTGATATTTATTTTTGGTTTTAATTTTTTTATAGATCACTTCATTTTCAGATACGTATTTAAATATTAATTGGCAGAAGCTGATTCAACAGATGGAATCACCCGTGATGGTTTGTTTTTTGTTAATAGGAGTATGTCCAAATGCGCCTGTTAAAGCTATTTATTGCATAAATTACATGACATATTATGTGTATACCAAACTCTGATAGCTATCCCAAAAAGTGCCCTCGTCCGTTATTATTACATCAAAGCTACCTATCCCAATGTTCAGGTAACAAGGTTGATGCAAAGGTGACGTCATAATGTCAGGAGTTCTACAGTACTCCCTCTCTGAGTTTTGCATACAAAACTTGATACAATTATTGTTACACATAATTAATATAAAAACAAAAAATATTTAACATATTTCTTCACAAAATCTGACGTGTCGTTTTACCTTCTTAATGTCTTCGAAAAAACCCTTAACAGGTTTAAGGCGATCTATATCCTTGCTATCTATATGTCCTTGCTATTACGGAATACGGTCCTTTATAGAGTTGTCGCAAAGATCCAACTAACCTATCGACACGAACGAATACGGGAGAGCAGTTAGGCAGGTCCTCAAAAACAAACTCCGATGGTTTATAATGCATATTATTGGTTTTGGGTCTTAAAATCTAAAATTGTTTACGCAACTGTGCAACATAGTAACTGGCAGGTATATCGGTGTCATCGTGAGAAGAAAGGAAGTCTGGAAGTAGGCGAATTGGTTCTCCATATACAATTTCTGCAATCGTTGCATTCAGGTCTTCTTTATATACTCCCAACATGCCCGTGGCGATAAATGGTAAAACGTCGACCCAATTTTGAGTTTCGTAGCAATGAATTAAAGCTTTTAAATGTCGATGCCATCTTTCGATAATACCATTAGCTTGTGGGTGATAAGCGGTTGTTCTAATTAACTCAACTCCAAAAAGTTTGGATAATGATTTAAAAAGATCACTTTCGAATTGTCGACCTTGATCGGTTGTTATTTGAAGAGGAACGCCAAATCGACAAATCCATGAGGTAAAAAGTGTTTTAGCCACTGTTTCAGCTGATATATTACGAATTGGGCAAGCAAGAGGAAGAACCAATTGCAGTGCTGGAAGCGTATTTATTATAGCCAACTGAGCTGTATTATCCAGATGGGATAGAAGAACTGCTTGTGATAGGATCTGTTTACACTTTTTAAAAGCAAGGGTAAGTCCGTCATTCCAGACGATCAAGTTAGAACCTTTTACCTTTCCACTTAGTAATTTGTTCAAGGGAATTTGGTCTTAAGCCGTGCTTTTAAGGAAACGATGATAAAAATTTAGCATACCCAAAAATCGACGAAACTGTTTAATCGTTGTGGGCTTTGGAAACTGTTGCAATGCATGAACTTCTGTTTCTAATGAATTAAAATTCCATTTGCTGATAAAGAATATCCTAGAAATTCAATTTCCGTAACACCAAATAAGCATTTATTGACAATAATAACAATACCGTAATCTCTTAATCTTTCAAAAACAATTTTTAAATGACGAAAGTATTGTTTCTTTGAAGATGAAGCTATAAGAATATCATCTAAATAAACATAACAAAAATAGAGTCCTTTTAAAACTTCATCCATAAATCTCTGAAATGTTTGTGATGCATTTCTTAAACCAAATGTGATGTGAGTGAATTCAAATAAACCAAAGGAAGGTATTATAGCAGTTTTGGGAATGTCTTCTGGAGCTACCTTGATCTGATTATAAGTTCTGACTAAATATATCTTAGAAAATATAATTTTGCTACGAAGGTTTTTAGAAAAATCATGCAGGTATCGTACAGAATATCAGATTGTACGAACATTAAGTGAGCCGTAATCCCCGCATGGACGCCATTGCCCCTTTTTTTTTCGGAACCAAATAAAGGGGCGAAGCCCAAGAACTATCACATCTCCGAGCTTTGTTAGCAACCTGTGGTCCAGGTGTAGTGCGGATATAGGTGTTACGTGGTATGCTTAGTTTCTTTCAAGAATCCTTCCGGCTTGGTTATTTCAGGAAATGCAGTAAGAAGTTTGTGATACTCAGAAGTACCGCTACTTATAGATTTAATTGTGAGATCTTTATTCTGTTCGCAGTAGGTTCCTAAAGACAATAGACCTGTCAGCGAGTCAACAAGACGTTTATTGCGAAGATCGACCAACAAATTAAAATAAGCTAGAAAATCTACTCCTATTATGGGTTTAGTAACATCAGCCAGTACAAATCTCCAGACCAATTCTCTGCGCAAACCAGATATCACCTGTGTTCAATACTAGTTATTAACATATCCTGCATACTTGGATATAGGCTCATACCACCAACTCTACTTTATTGTTGATATATTTGTGTATCCTCGTCTCATGTCTCTTGTCAATTTTCTTTCTGAGAGATCGGTTTTGGACTATTTCTTGGCAATTGTAGTTTTTTTTTCTGGTATACCCCATAATTGTAGGACATTTGTCCATACTGGCTTTAGAACTTGTTTGTACATCAGGACTTTATTTTGAGTAGAAAATCCTATCATTCAAAGTATATTTCTATATTTATTCTTTAGATGTTCAGTTTTCATTTTTACATGCTCCTTCTATTTTAATTTAGCATCCAGATTAGGAATCGGATATTTTGCTATTTTCTTATTTAGTATAATATTGTTATTTAAGTTTATTGGTATATAATATTATATTCTTCTATTGATAAAGTTATTGTGAGCAGATTTTTCTTCGTTGATTTTTATGCGCCACTGTTTAGACTAGATTTGTATGCTATTGATTCCGTTTTAAAAATTAGCTGTTGTTTCTTCTATAATTGATCCTATGAATAAGACAGCTGTATGAGTATGTTGTTATGAAGTATGTAAAAGTGACACACGATAAATCAGTCAAATGTAATACATATTATTTTATAAATTTTCCAAGGCCTTGCTTATGCAATATCTTTAAAAAAATATCAAATCATCAGGCAAAATACATATTAAAACATGTTCAAAATGTGCATTATGGGTGAAAAAATGTGGTCGAAATGACAAAGGTTTTCGATGATGTGGTACCACACAGTATTTTTTTAATATTAAATATTACTTTGGTATACACAGTAATATTATTAACAATGTCATGTTGATCCTTAAAATATTAAATAATATATTTTATTAATTATACTCTCATTATACTTTCATATATGTTAAAGTGTTTGTGCAAGTAATAAAATTTGGTTGGTATAATTAATTAGAATAGAGTTATAAGTATTTTTGTTTTCATTATTTTTTTGCACAGTAAACAAGTATTGATACCTAATCTCTCAATCAGCACACTTATTTTACCTTGTTGCGAACGTCCACGACACTTCAAGCACCTTTTTAATTGCTCACAACTAATATGTGCTTCCTCTAAGTTATAAAAAACTTCCTATAATGATTGATTTGTCTGTAGAGATAATATTGCTTTTCTAGTCTTTGTTGATCAAAACAGTACGAAACTTTTGAATTACCGCTATTTCAACATGGCGGCTGCAGTTGCGCTCATAACATGATGAAAAGGCCTATTAGTTGGACATAATGCATCGGCAAAAATTTCTTTATTTTAAATAGTAGGCCTTGATGCCATACTGTATCGAAGGCTTTAGAGATAACAAGAAATACTGCTGAGTAATTTTTTTCTCTTGTAAAGAAATTTCAATTTTATTTATTATACAATAGATCTGATCAATTGTAGAATTTTTATCTTGAAATACAAATTGAAATTTCTTTACCTCGTCCTGGATTCAGTTGGAACATGCATTCTAAACAGACTGATTACTTTTTTTAATTGATACAAGTAATTCAGATATACAATTTTACTTTTAGATTTAAATATAGTTAACCTTATTTTTGTGAACAAGAATTTTTATTTTGTTGATTTAGTTTTTTGAATAAAAATTTTATTTTTCTTTTCAGCTTTGACTTTATAAATCAATACATCAAGATATTAATTATTCTTTCCTAAGTTACTTATCGGTTTTACCTAGAGATACTGGGGTAAAACTGTTATTTATTATACAGGGTGTCCCATCAGTGTTTAATATTTTAATTTAAGTTATAGACAGGCAAACAAGGTATAAATAAAAGTTTTTGGATATACGGACAAATAAAAATTTATATTTTTCATTTTCATTTTTAGAATGCTTTAGTAATACTTATGCAATCCAATAATTTTTTAAAAAACAATACAGGGTTGCCAAGCAATAAATTTTTTTATGAAATTAGAGAATCATGCAGATCCCAAATTAAATTACC